AGCAAGTCCTTTGAATGATTAAAGGCAAAGAATTTCTGTTGAAATGAGTTACTTCTTTTGGAATTTGTTTAGAAAAGCTGTTTAAAACCACTGGACACTTCAGCTGCCATATGTCATCTTTAATGAACCTTGCCAGGCACTGAACAGAAAAATCCTCCTTTCTCCAGAAGGTTTCTTTAGGATGGAGGTGAGCCTGGGCATCCCTGCCTTCATGGCATTCCCTGGGACCCAAATGATGCCATTTCTGCCTTAGTTTGGGATTAGAGACAAAATCCTAAAAGGCTTTTGTATTAATAACTGCCCTCAGCTTGAAGTAAAACCTCTGGAACGGGTTCCTCACAGGTACAAGGTGTGACATATCCATTCCAATTCCCCCCTAGGAAACAATAAATCAACATTAGTTATAAAAAAGGATGAGCATGGAGCACTGCAAAGGAAACTGGAGAGAACTGGGGAAAAGAAAGCAGTGAAAATGCTGGAAAAAGAAAGTTTAATCAGAAAACTGATAGGGGAAAATGACTGAAACAAGACAGAAAAGAACTTAAAATGTTTTTCATTAAAAAGTAAGAACAAAGTCAAGATACAGGGGATGAAAGTCTGGAAAATACCAAAGCCAGATTTTTTTTTCTTCTGTACTATAAATATTGTTGTAGGGAATAAAGTTCTTATGATGTGCTGTGAAATTAAAAATCAAGCAGTAGTGTCTTAAGATGAACATGATGGGATGTGCTCGAAGGAAAGCAGTGTTAGGTGATTCTGATTTGGCTTTTTCATTCCCTCAGCTTTATTAATTCATGTTTTAATTTGCAATAGTTTATCAGATGTCATTTTCCAGTGTGTTTTAGTGAGGTTTGAGAAAGAAATAAAACTGTGCTGTGGGTAGGGAGTTCTGAGTGCATCGTTCTGCAAACTGAAAATAGCTGAGACAAGTTCTGACTGTTAACATCAGGTTTTTCTAGAGAGAATGTTGTATTCCTGTATCTCCTTTAAATCTTTATTGGTGAAGAAGCTGTGGAGATGCTGAAGAGCTGCCCCAGTGGAGCTGGCTCAGGTTTTATGGGTGCTGTGTTGGTGATTTCTCGGCCCAGGCTCTGCTGTGGCTGACACAGCCTGCAATGACTCCTGTGGGCTCTCCCTGTGGGCTGCTTGTTTAAAGGACAAGGGAGAGGACAGGAATGTGTTGCTGTTCTCCTCTTGGCTGCTCCCTTTGTGTTCACATTGCCATCACTGAAGATCCAGGATCAGCGTTTGGAAAACAATTCAAGGAAGGCACTGGAGCCTTGGGTGTCTTGGAGGAGCTCAAGACTGATGGAAAGATCCAGAGTCAGAGGAGGGGATATTTGTGTGAACTTTCAAAGCTGAGTTGAGGAGATGGTTTGGTTTATTATGGGCTTATGGATTTGAATCTCCAGAGGGTGGTAGAGATTTTTGATCATTACCATAAGGGTAATAATTAAAATTAATGGAAATAAATGGAAAATAAATAAACCTTCTCTTTGCTCACTCACAAAGAAAATATTTATGTAGCTCTTTGGAGAGCTTCAGGTAATGTGGGATTCCTGTATTCTCAGTAAAACGAAAAATATAAAATCAGCACAGCAACAAGTAAGTTTAATGCTTTTTTGAATGCCAGTAATCACAAACTGTATCCTTATTGCAGTTATAATTTTATAACCCAGTTATTTTTTTAAAAAGGGAAGAAACGGAGAAATTTAACACTGAAAAATTTACTTATGGGGCTATAGCTAACATTTACATTTTGGAAGTGGGAAAACCGAGGCACAGGATGTGAGTCCCAGGGTGTCCTTAGCCAAGCCCCATTTTTTATTCCTCACTGTTCCTTAGGGCAGCACCAGTTGGAATTTTTGGGTGTAGGAACTTGAGAAAATTAGCAGAAGAACTTGGATTTGCATTCTGATTTTCAAAATGCAATTTTTCTTCCTTTTTTCCCAGCTTTGAAGTTCTCATTTCCTCTGCACAGAGGCAGAAGATAACTGTGTGTACTCAAAAGTTGTGAAGTAGTTTCCAGTAGGTTTTCACCTATATCTTTGTGAGTGATGGGTCCAGTTAAGCTGGTTCTAAGATCAGATATTTTTTAGTACTTGCTTGGTTTGCTGCACTTTTGGAAGGACTTTCCCTGAGTGATCCTTTCTTGGATGACCTCTCCATGCTGTCATTAAAACTTGGAAACTTTGCTCTTCTTGACAGTTAGTTCTGCATTCTCATTATGTTCATTCCTATTGTAAACATGCTCAAGTTGCTGCTGTTATTGCTTAGAATGGCTTTTTCCTCTGTTGTTTTGAAGTCTGGTAGAAATAGAAGTTAATCTTTAAGAGAGTGGGGCTGCTGAGCATTGGACGGCCCAGCTCGATGGGTCACGCCGTGTCTGTCTTTTCATTTGCCTCATAGATGATGTTCTGCTGACTCCAGCTGTTTTTTTGGAAAGCAGAAAAACAATTTGCTTTTCCTTCCCATAAAGTATAACCCTTTGTTTATCCTTGTGCTGCTGCAAGTTTCCAAAATGCAAAGACTTGCAAAGAAAAGAAAGGGAGGAAATAGCTCCTTTTTTTTACGCTGTTTTTCGTATCGGAGAGTAGAGTTTAGGACCGAGCTGAATTGTTGACCTTTGTGGAGTTTATTCTTAGAATTGGTTGATTTGTGTGTGGAGTCTGATTGACTGAGCCCAGTTCGTGAGACAAACCACGGGCAGTGTGTTTGGGGAGGGCAGTCCCAGCTTTTCCAAGCAACTCCTCTGTTCAGTGATCAATTTTGGATTTGAACAATTCTTCTTGCAATTCTTCAATGGCTTCAGTTCATTGAAATAATTGAGAACTGTTCCCTTTTCCAAGCAGGACCTGGTTTTTTGCTATGAATTGCTGAGACTCCTGTAGTTTTCTCCTGCAGGGATGTTAGGAATTTGGGAAAGGCAAGTCACTGGTTCTGAAGTCACTGTAGAGATTTACATGACAAGGGTTATCATCTGGCAACTTTTAGTGCTGTATTTTATACATAAAAGGGAAGGTAAAAGAAAGGTTTGGGGGACCTGAATTCCTTTCCTGACCCAGATAAGAGCTGCCGAGGCAAAGTCGGCATTAAAACCTCAGCGCTCCTGATCTATAATGTCATCGGAAGAACACGTTTGTATTTACAACCCAGGGCTGTATTTACAACCTTGTTTTTTTTGCTTGCTTTGTTCCTTAAGAGGCTCTGGCTACCCACATTTTATGCACTCCTGGAATGCAATAACAATTGTGGCATCATCTCTTCAGAATTCGTTTTCCTTCCTGCGATCGGGCCGGCGATAAAGGCTCACAAACCCTGCCTGGGTCCTGCCTGAGATGGGCTTAACTGGGTGCATTCATTCTGGGTTTAACTGGGTGCATTCATTCTGGGTTTAACTGGGTGCATTCATTCTCTCCTTCCCTTCCTTTCTGACCTTTCAAGCAGCTCACTGTGATCTTTGGAATTTTGCAATTCCCTCCGTGCTCTGCTCTGGAAAATGAAATCCAGGCTTGTTTATCTCGGCGCCCAAACCCGCATCCAAAGAGTTGTCAAATGTCCATGGAACGTTCCAGAAAGGTGCTAACACCTCCCACACTGCTCCTCACTGCTTTGCAGGTGTGGGAAATAAAACCTGTCCCCTTCTGGAAGTTGTGCTCTGCTCAGGAAATGTTCTGGACTCCACTGGAGCCTGCTGGAACAGAGCTGGACATTTGTGGATATCGGGTTCTTTTCCCTTCTCTGGGTGCAGAGCAGGGTCAGAGTCTCACATCAGAGATTCAGAAAATAAAAAGCTTCACTGGCTGGGTTTGGGGTTTACTTTTTATTAGGATTTTATGCAATACACTGAATAAAAGTTGTGTTGGATGTGTTCTGAAATGCAGTTTGTCTGCACTCCCTCAGCCCAGGATACAGGAGCAGCTGCCCAGGGCTCCTTTAAATCAGACACACATGTCTGTAAGGTCTTCAATATTTTGTTTCTTGGCCAATCAGTGAGAGGTTTTAAATTGCTAAATTGACTGTATTAGCCTAAGAACTGATGAAAACTGAGATTAACCATTTGCTTGATAGCCTCCTCCTTCCCCTTGTTCTTTCCTCCTTATTTTTTCATGTAAAAAATGCTTATTTTAAAATACAAATGTATTTTGTAGTTGTACAAATTTTTTGTACAAATACAAATTATTTTATTTATAAAAATTTTATTTTACTTATAACATATGATAAAAATACATATTTTAAAAACTTTATATATGAAATGCCATTTAATGTGATTCATTTTAAGCCTTTCCATGTTTTCATTCACAGCTATTTTGTCTAACAAGTATTTTCATGTTTAAATCCTCAGGAATAATTCTCTTTTCTATGCTCATTTTTATCCATATGTATAAATCTATTTTTAATGATAATATAAAGTGAACAGTGGAAATATTGCCACCAATTTAAGGGAATTACAAATTTTCACACTGTGTAAAGTAAAGTTTGTGCAAAAGTATATGGAGAGACTGAGGGCTTGTATAGAGAATTGGTAAAATCAAAAGCAAGAGCATTTTGAAAGACTGAGGGTTTGTATATAGAATTACTAAAACTGAAACCAAGAGCACAATTCATCCTTTCATACAGTAAAAATCCAGAAGAGGTTGAAGTGATTGAGCTCTTCACCAACAGAAAGGTGTCAATCAAATAAAATTTATTAAATTGTGAAGATACAAAACCAATCGAGTCAAACATCACCACTCCCTCACCCCAGAATGTCATTTTTGTATCAAAATGGCTTTAAAATGCAAACAAAAGGAGAAATGAATATTTACACATAATTAAATGTTCAAAATAGCTCCTCTAACCACAGCCTTATCTCTAGAAACAAAAATGCAAGCATCCACTGAGTGATATTAGCAACTGCAAGGCTTTTGTTTAGACTTTTTGTTTTCTTGGCAATAAATAAAATTCTTTGGAAGAGGTCATTAAGATCTTTCTTCATGTTGCCTTTTTAAACTTTGCAGGCTGCTATCCTTGTCCAGGGCCAAACATGAATCCTATTGCTCTTGGAAGCCGCTGGCTTGCTTATGCAGAAAACAAGGTAAGGAGGGGTTTGAGATCAAAAAATCCTTCTAAACTTTGTATGTATAGTGGGAAAAAGAAAAGAAAAGGTCTCAGGAAAAAGCTGTGTGCAAAAGAAAGTCTGTGAGAGGAGTTGCATTCAAATGACAGTCCTAAGTATTTTAAAATATTAGATCTTTACTTTGCATGTTTGATTTAATCTCAGTTTAAGGAAGGCAGAGAAGCCAGCCATCAACATGTGTTTTCAGTGAGGTGACACAATAATCAACCCATTTTGTGCTCTAAAAGTTTAAAGCATTTAATTACAGACACTTCTGAAGGTAGGCAAAAAAACACTTCCTAAATTCTCTTTGGGGAAACTGAGTCTGGACAGAGCCTGGTTTGTCTGAGCCAACACTCAGAGCAATGCACTCTGTACCTTAGAAAACAGCATTAAATTGGTCACTTTTGAACAGCTTTGAGAAAGTTGAGCTCCAAGAAAAAAAAGAAAAATTTTAGACTTTTTTCTTCTTTCTAGAGACAAAGAAAATCGATTCCCAAGCAAAGAAATGATCATTGCTTTTACCCAGAGGAGTGGTTGTGTGTGTAAAGCTTGAAGTGAAGCCTGAATTTGGCTCCTAATGCCCTAATTTCATTTCAAAGCAGATGTTTTTTCTCCCTTCCACCTGTGACTGGAGAAGCTGTTCCTAGAGCTGAGGCAGGAGTTATCAGAGGCAGATTTTAGAAATCGATTTGCTGTTACGTCTCCTCCAGCACAGATGATTTCTTCCCAAATTCAAACCTGCCTTTCCCTTTAGTGCCACACCTTGCTCATGCTGGAAGAGCTAACCCTGCTCAGCATGGGATTTAAAAAGTATTGCTGCCAAAATACCAGCAAAAGAATTGGATCACCAAGGGAATTTAAATTAAATTTACCTGTCCCCAGGTAAATTCACTGGGGGCTTTCCCTACTTTAGGTATTTTTATTTAGATATTTAAATATAAGCAGGACAGAAAAGCCTTTAGAAACAAATACATTTTACAGCAATTTTAAATTTTCTTTAGCTCAAATAGTTCAACAAGCAACGTGTTTTGCATGCAAGCAACAAATACCTATATTTTTTCCTAATTTTGCATAGAAGCACAGATTCTATTGTTACTTAGGGTTCAAAGGCAAAACCTACTTTTGTAGGGTGATGGCAGGTACAAGAGTCTTGTTTTGATTTTGAAGGCAGGCAATAAAAAGCAAACCCCATGTACATTCCTTTAATCTATTAAATGCAAAGTTTCAAACAACTCTTTTCCTTTGTCATTTCTTTGCTTGCTCGTCATAAAAAGGAGGGGAAAGCCACACTTGCATTCTTAGAATGGCTGATATTTAATGTTACATATACATGGCTAAAGCTTTTGATTATATTTATTTAAATTTATTTGTGGTATTGCTGCCAGACCAAAAATCCCACCATTTCAAAGTTTATGAATTCTTAGTGAGTACTCATCTGGTAATTGAAAACTGGAGCGGGGGACGCGACAGTCTGGGTGGCACCCAGAAGATTATAAAAAGGGGTTAAGTGTCTCAGCAGGGCTTTTTGCTGTTTGTAGGAAAAAACACACCACTGTACATGATAAATAAGAGCTCTGGTAATGGCTTATGGGTTTGTGGAGTTTAATAGTAGTGACTTGGTTGCTGTCTTTCTTCTTGTAGCTGATCCGATGCCATCAGTCCCGTGGTGGAGCCTGTGGAGACAACATTCAGTCTTACACTGCCACAGTCATTAGTGCTGCCAAAGTGAGTCCATCATCTGCCCTGGGAGAGCTGCTCCTGCAGCATAATGATGAGGTTTCCCTGCTGAATTGGGCTGTGTGTCATCACCCCCTCCCTTCCCAGAGAGGAGAGCACGCTGAGAGCCCTGCAGCAGCAGCAGCAGCACCGGGCCTGCCCTCCCCATCCTGCAGAGCTCTGGCTAACTGTAGCTTTCCACAAGTATTTCTGGTTCTGAACTGATTTTCAACAATTTCATTTATTACAAACAGCTATTTACATTAGAGGGAAGTGACAGTGGGATGGATTTGTGTAATGGCTGTTCATAGTGGCACAAGTTTACATGATTAGAAATCAACATTGTGAATTATTAGTCTTTTAGCATCATGAAAAGTGACTTTACAAGTGCCTGCTGCTCTTTGGACTCCATCACACCCCCATTATACGTTTTGCTCTCTCTGAAGGGTGACAGCACAGTACTGGAGCTAATTAATGACCTTCTTTGAAGGTTGAGCTTATTAATGACTGTTTACATATAGGTTCCATTGCCTCGTTTTTGTACTTCAGATGATGTTATAAAATCCCTCTCTTTTCAGAGACATGTCTGGGGTTTTGTAGTATCAAAAGAAGCTCATGGCTTGGAAAAATCTTAAACAAGGCCGAGCACAACTTTTGTTTCACTGTCTCCCTCCCAGCTCCTTTCCTTGCTGCAACAATTTCTTTTTCTCACACACACACACACACACACAGAGTGAGTTTTGGCACCGTGGGGTGAACTCGGTGCTGATTACAAGCTTCCCTTGTAACCACCAGCCTTTTCATTTCTGATATGTGCAACAAAACAAACCTAATAATAGGAATGAAATGACAGCGTGGGACAGAGGGCTCAGTGGCACCGGGGAAAACAACAGTTAGGAGAAGCCACAGAGAGAGACAGGGCAGGCAGCTCATGTGAAAAGAAAACAGAAAAACAAACACAGTCCAGCACAATCACTGTGTGGCCAGAGAAGGAGAAAAATCACGGCTTTTTATGTTGTTGAGGGGAGCTGGAATTGCTCCTCTCCTGAGGTGATTTGCTGGATCTCTGTGTACTTTCACCATCAGCACAGTTAAAGAGGTGTGGAGGGAAATTCCTTCAATCCCAGCATCCTGAACATCTTTTTTATAGCACAGATAAGTTTGAAAAACTGAATGGCTTAGTGTGATCAGCTGCAGTTTGGATCAGATGTGGCAAAATCCTGCAAACAGATCACTGTAGTGATGGCCTTCCCTGCTGAGTAGTACTAGCAAGGGATCATAATCCAGAAATTCCGCTGTTAAGCTGAGTTTATCACACTGAAGTAGTGCTATTGCATCATGTGAGTAGATACTGAAGATAAAATGTGTTTATAATCATAGGAAAGAAAAGATTGTGAGCCTCTGTACAGAGATAAACTCCCAGGGAGAGTTGGGAAAAGGGATAATCCCCAGGGCACGGGCTGCTGCTGCTGCTCTGTATTTGCACAGCTCATTGCTCATGCTCCTGCCTGTTGGATGTTACTGTAATAGACAAGATTAATACTAATATAGTTTTAAATATTTGCATGATTTGGCTCTTGAGGAGTGTCTCAGCCTTAGTGTATTAATTTGTTATCCATGAGCATGCCACAATAAATCTGCAATGTTTAATTTATTAGTGATTTCATTGAGTCTTGGCTTGCTCTCTAGCAGGTTTTCAGCTCTGATAACTGCAGGGCTGAACTTTCTTGCTGGCACATAGATGCTCCATATATCTGTTGCTCTTTATCCATTTCATTGCCTGGCCATCAATTCACTCCTTCCTTATTTAACTCTTCATTTATGAACCTCTATTTATGCTGTTGTGTCCTATCAGCTGCAGGGGTTTGTAATTCTTTGCTTTGATTAGTGCAGGAGCAGCTTTTTGGGAAGTGCATGTCCTTTCCTTTTCCCTGCAGTGCTGCTTTTTGGTTCAGAAGTGGTTCCATTAAAGTTCTTGTTTTGCCAGGTTACCTTGGGTTACAGCCTTTTCTCTGGTTGGCTTCCAATTTTCTACTGAAGGGAAAGAACCTTGGTATGAAAGAGAAGGAGACCTGAGAGCTTTCAGCAGGGTCACTTTGGAGAATTGCATTTCAGATCCTCTCTAGAAGGTCTTGGTGGCAGCACAAAATATTTTCTGTAATGGTTTTTCCTTTGCTGAGCCATGTCCTGGTGGGGCCAGGGGTTTGTCCTCAGTGGGAGCTGCTGATCTTGGTGCAGCAAATAAATTTCCTCCTTAATCAAATAACTTGGGAGTTATTTGAGAGGGTCCCTGTTCACCAAAATCACCGAGGTCAAAGTTGTGATTATGTTGGTGGCTTTCTGAGTGTTCATGTTCTAAAAGCTCTGGTAGTTTCTGTCACTTGACCAAGCAGAAAATTTTGGGAAGCAGAAAAATGTGTCAAGATTCACATTTGGATTAATGAGGGGTGCAGATAAAAATGGAAAAATGAAAGTATCATTCCTTAGAGGTGGTGTAGAATGCACTCAGTGCATGCAGACAGGAGAGTCCCTTCCATGGGATAAAGATTCTTTTCAGTTGAAGAAGCAGTGGCATGGATGTGGAATTTCTTTCAGAATAAACCCTATTATCCCTTTGTTCAAACTGAGTGTGAGGCTCAGCCTCACTGTGTTGACACCCAAGGCAGATCTTTTTGATGTCTCTTTCTGCTTTCTATAGGTTTTTCATTTGCAGTCAAATAGATCACATAAAATGTATTTATTATGAAAAACAGGAACAATATGTTGTGTTGTCACTAAAAGGATGCAAGGCCTTTGTTGGAACAAAGCATCCTAACAGGCATTGAATTGTGCATTTTAATTCTTTTCATCTAATTAAAGTTGTACTTGCTTTTCAATTAAATTAGGTATGAGGGTATATATCTATTTTAATTAAATATATGTATTTCTTTATATTCAAATAGATGTCAACAGTCACATTTTGAAGTAGATAGGGTACACATGAGCATATAAATAATGTGTGTTTCTGCACACTGTGGATCATTGGTTACAAAAGAAACTGGATCAAGTATTTTAATTTTATTTAGCAGCAGACTTCACTGGCAGGTTCCCATCAGTGACAAAGGGACTGGGACAGTGCAAACTTGAACCCATTTATTTCATTTAAAATGTATTTGCTCTGTCACATGTCTCACATCAAATTATAAACCAAGTCCTTCTCACCTCATAACTCCTTTGCTTGATTCCTTCTCCGTATCTTTTAATCCCGTACTGGTAAAGTGATTTAGCAAAGGCTGCATCTGTTTTCTCTTGTTACCTGATAACTTCTTAATGAGGACTAACAGCTTATGTGAGAGCAAGGTCATTAGCCCTAATGGATGGAGGGGACAGCTGATATGGCATGGGAAAGGTTAAAGATTACCCCAGAAGTTTTTGCAAATATACACAACAGCACAGGGCAGTAAGTGCTGTAATGGTTGTGCCCTGATATTTCTGAGCTAATGGCCTTGGCCACGTCTCTGCACACCTCTGCCTCTGCAGCCCCCACGCCGTCACTGCCTTCTGGAGAGCTGTCAATTTATGGTTGGTGCTTTGCCATCCCATTGCACTCATTATAAATATTAAAGATATTTTCTAAAACAGGCCAGTTACAGTTTTTAGCCTTCTCCCCTGCCCAGGTGTTTTGCCATGTAGCATTTACTGCTTTCTCCTCCCTGCTTTATGAACTGAGAACGAATCATTTTCTAGGATTTTAGCTATTGGCCAAAAAACTGCCTTGTCAGTTTTTGCCAGGAGAGCTGGAATGCATCCCTGTGATGGCACTGGGGCTATTTTAGGTTTATTCCTCAGCTGTCAATATCTGCTTTATGTTACCTCTCCCAGCCTCCTGAGTTCACCACTGCTAAAACCCGTTTTATTCTCCTCTGCCGTAGCCGGGTATAAAAAGAAATAACAAGAAACAAATGGCAGGATATTACTAAAGACTTTAAACCCCCAAAGCCATTGCTGTGCTAAAGGCCTGGCTCGATTTTAAGTGGAAGTATCTCCATTAGCAGTAATGGGGTGAGTCCATCAGCAGAGGCATCTCAGAGGTTAATCAGCCTTCCTGGCTGGCCATGGCCATCGATACCGTGTGGCGCCTGCTGCTGTTGGCCCTTCAGAGGCTTTCCTGACAGCACACTAACAGACTTTGTGTAAGTCATTGCCCATGAATTATTAAAACAAACGTTTGGCTGCTAATTGATGAACACTAATGTGTTTTCTAATCACTGCAGTTTGAGATTTTAGCACTAAACAAAGCAGTTGCAATTGATTTGTGGCTGCTTCTTGGTTTCAGCCTGGGATCTGGACATTTTTTTCCTTTTCAATTTAGCAGGCAGCTTAGCTTGTCTTTTTAGTTAAGAATTGGCTTGTTACAGTGTCATTCCATTCTGATCTCTTTTGCTATTTTTTATTTATATTGCATAATAAATCTGCTCAATTCTTTACAGGCAAATAAGGCACAGTCCTTGGTTCAAGGAGAAAATATTTAAAGTTGTAGTTGGGCTTGTTTATCTTTCAGTCTGCATCTCTCCTACTGTGTCCACTCTCCCTCTTTCTCCAAATAAAATAAAGCAAAATAAAAATAATCTTCAGCATCTTTAGCTGCTAAAAACTGGTGCAGTGAATGTGTTTTCAAACCCCTGTCTGGGAAACATGCAGAGCCTGGAAAGTCCCATCCCTTGTGCTGGGACGTGCCTGGGAGTTCCAGGACCTCGAGGGTGGCATTTTTAATTTTCCTGGATTTGAGTCCCATATTTTGTTTTAATGTTTAATTATTGAGTAAAAAAATGAGTGTGTCAAATGTAGCAAAAGACAAATTCTTGGTCTCTTGCACTGTGCAGAAGACAAAGCTCTGTGAGCTTTAGGGGCTGTTTGTATTTTGTGTGAGCAGTGCCCTCCTCACACTCATCGTGGCCTCGTCTTTGATCCTTCTGAGCATGCATGCTATGGGAGTAACTAAAATCAAACTTAAAAAACCCCCAGCACTGGAATACTTAAAATACAAACACATTAATTATTTGAACATTAAAATACTTCTTCTTTCAATAATGCTTTGGCATAATTGACTTCCAAGAGAAAGGTGAATTCTTCCATTTGCCAGGACTCCAGATTTTTCCAAGCTGTTTTGTTGCAGCCTTTTGCAGCTGATACCCCACTCCTAAAAAAAAATCCACTTGCAGAAGGAATCTGAGCTGCAGCCACAGCACAGCCCTCAACACCATTTGAAGGAGTTTTTTTTCCCTTTTTTTTTTTTTTGCAGACAATAAAGACTGGGCTGACCATGGTGGGGAAGGTGGTGACCCAGCTGACGGGGACGCTGCCGTCGGGAGCCACCGAGGAGGAAATCCTGGCTCACAGCAACCTGCGCAGGAGTCCCCTGGTGCCCGGCATTGTCACCATCATCGACACCGAGACGGTGGCAGAGGGACAGGTACCAGTGTGCCCACAGCCAGAGCCTGCATGGCCACCCCAGTCCCAGGGAAATCCTTCCTGTGCTGATGGGAGTGAAGAATAAAGCGGAGTTTGGCCGGGGCGGGAGTTTTACAGACAGCACAGAGCTGGGATAAAATCCTGTTGGGGACTGAAATGCAGCCAAAATATATATTGTCCTTGCAGCTTATTTATGTGACAAGATCTTTGACAAGATCAAGTGTGAAGTGTCACATTTTGTCTCCCCAACACTTGTTCCTAATTGACATTGATTGATGCTGATCAGTGGAAGTGGAGTCTAATGATATTTATTAATACAGAACGGGGCTGGAATGTGGGCTTCTTTGGGAATGGGGGAATTGTTGAATTCCAGGCGAAAAAAATGATGGGAGAAGTTGGGTGTGAAGTGTAGAAGTTACAATTTTCTGTAAATCCCAAATGCAGCGGAGCACAATGCTGTTTGTGAGGCATTTGCACTGTTTTATAATTACAGAGTAAATTTACTGTATATACCAATACACAGTGCAGTGCATCAGGAAGAATCATTTGTTACAAACTCCACACCACTATCAGACAATTTTTAACTTGCTGGATTTTCCTGTCTTTATGGCAGGGAAGATATCCATGTCTTTTTTTGTTTGTTTCTACCCCTCATTTAATTTTCAAGTGGCTGGTCCTGGATTCAGTGTTTATGCAGAACTCCCACACAGTTCATTATTCTGTAACTAGTCTGTGAGAATTTTTTTCTCATGGTCACATTTATTGAATTTAAAGCAAAAAAACCCTTCAGTTTTTTCCTTGTTTTCCCCTATCTTTATGAAGCCCATTGCAGGTAAGTTAGTGAGGTATTAAGGACACATCAGTTATTTTATTTTTTTTTCTTGACAGGAAAATAAAATCTTTTACTTGAAAAAAACCAAAACAAAACAAAGAAAAACTTTGTTATGGTCGTTCCCTGAGAATTAATTTTGGAAGTATTTAGCCAAGGAATGTTGCATTGAAAGGGAATTGTTCATAAAACACTATAGACATTTTCTTCCAAAACTGAAATAAAGAAGAAAATGGAAAAAAGAATTTAGGATCTTATAGTCAGGTTTTAAAATAATTCTGGGATTTGTTTTTGTTTCCAGGAAAAAAAAAAATTTCTTGGCTCTTCATATGCTATAAGGAAAGAAAAAAAAAGACAAATTTGGCTTCATAAATTTCTGATGAAGCTGTTTAATGTGGCCATTATTTCTGCTGGTCGCTGTCTGTGCTTTGATTCTTCTGCATAGGCCTAGGGGGAAAAAAAATGATAGATCTTAGGTTTTTAAGGCTTGTTATATATGATTTAGAGGTTTTATGAACCTGTCCTCTGACCCTAACAATAGTAGGGAGCTATCAAAGCCTAAAGGGCACTCCAGGAGAGGAGCTGTAAAAATGATAATGTTTGTCTTGTCCAAAGCCTGCTGCTCTAACATAAATAAGCCATCAGCTCTAGGAAAATAAGTTCTGTCTTGAACCTCTAGGAAGTTGAGTATCCTAATTGTGTATATTGCATTCATATTTTTGTGATCTGAAGGTTTTAAATGCTGTTAAATGATATAATTTATTTCCCGTGCTGCAATTTGCTTTCAGAATTATATTTATTTCCAGGAAAAAAGAAAATAACTTTTCTTCTGCCTTGTTAGATTTTCATGGTGCAGGGGATTTTTTAAACAATTATTTCTTACTGAAATGTCCCTCTGGCAAAAAGAAAGCTGATTCAAAATAAAGAAATGCACTTTGTGCATGGTTATTCCACACTGCCAGTCCAGAACCTTCTCCTGTCAGGGGTGTCCTGGGTGCTCCTGGGGCTCTGAGCCTTCTCCTGTGCCCCCAGCTCTGGCTGCAGTGGCAGTGGCAGTTTTTGTGGGCTTTTGTGAGGTTTTGTGGGCTTTTGTGGGCTTTTGTGGGGTTTAGTGCAGCTGGGAGCTGGTGGATGCTGCTTTTGGCAGGGATCTTGGCGTGCCCCAGGGGCCGGCAGGGCTGTGGTGCTGAGCGCTGGCAGGAGGATTCCTGCAGGGAATTCCTGTTGCTGCAGGCTGCCTCACCTGCCTGGCTTTGGGGCAGCATTCAGGGAGGTGTTTCAGCACAGGGGACAAAAATGTCCCTGAGCTCAGGGTGGCTGCCCTGGGCTGCAGCTCCTCGTGCCCACAATTTTGGATTTTGTTTTACTCTCCTGTGGAAGATCTGGGAGTGGTGACCTGAGCTCCATCCCCCCTTTGGCTGAGGGGAGGGGTGCTGGGGCAGGCTGCTGATGCCAAGTCCTGTAAAACCCTCTGCTTTAGGGTCACTGCCTGTTTTCAGGGGTTTTCCTGGAGTTGTTGCTTTATAGAATCACAGATTCACAGAATCAGCACATTTAGAAAAGACCTGCAGGATCATCAAGTCCAGCCTTTGACTGAATCCTGCCATTCCCATGAAACCAAATTGCCAAATTTGCTCATTTTTTGAATTCTCCCAGGGATGGGGACTCCACTTTCCTGTGGGGAAGCTCCTGTTCAGTGCTGAACCACTCTCAGTGAAAGGATTTTTCCTTGTTTTATCCCCCCAGTTTTCAGATCCATGAAAAGAAGAGTTCTGAGTGGAATCAACAAACCTTCCCTGCTGGTTTGAGGTGCCTGCTCTGGGATGCCCATGGCTGTGCCCATCAGGCTCTTCCTCCTCTCACTGAGAAACCCTGAATTTCAAAATCCAACCAAATATTTTCTGGGCTAAATGAGCACTGGGAAAGCCCTGAATCCCATTCAGCAGGGGCTGGTGTGTGCTCACACGGGTTCCAGCCTTGTCACAGCTGAGGGCAGTTCCAGAAGCAGGGAGGAATTCTCTTCCTATCATCAGTGCTCTCCTCATGTGAAATAAATACCTCACCTCCTTCAGGTCAGTAAAGATTTCTATCACCTGCACAACCTGACTAAGAATTTGGGTGTTGCAGTGAAAGATCCATTTTCCAAGTAATAAAATATGCCTGTACGATAAGATACAGAAAAAAAAATAAAGCTCTGTTTTAAAAAGTGAAAGAAAATGGAAGAGAGCAATAAATCTAAGGCAGGCAAATACATCATTTTGGAGGAGAAATAAGAACTTTTTTTTGAGTGGGGAAGCTTTTTTTTTTTTTTTACATAATTGTGTCTAAAGTCTTGCAATTTAATGATCCCATTACCTTTTCAGTTATTTCAAGCACAGCACACAGGTTCTAAAGATGGACTGAGCTGCTCTGTGGCTGTGTACAAATATAACAATTTCTGTGCCAGGAGGATGATGAAGGGACATGTTTTGGGCACAAACCAGGAGGACTAACTATAATTTTCACTAATTTTTAATAATTTCTCCCATTTCAAAGTCATGAAATATGAGGGATGTGAGAGGGAGCTCGATGTGTCTCAGTCACTGCCCTGTGCTGCCATGGCAGAGGCTGAAATGCAAACTCACCACAGAGAAATCCACAATTTAAGAGCAAAGAACTCTCCTAATGTAATCTTGCAGGATTAAATCTGCAGGGAAAGTATTTTTAATAAACCTTATGAATGTGGACACTGTAGTAAACTCTCATCCCCAGCAGTTGTTTATGTGATAGCTCCTACTTTCAGAATTGGTGCTACTTTAAGAAAATTTGAATTATGAGGTAATTAAATAAATGCAGAGGAATGCAGAATTATTGACATTGGCTGTCAGGAGATATTTGTAAAAGGAATAAAAATAATTATCGAGATGCCCAAGTAACTTTGTGGTAAACCAAAATATGTTAACAAGGTTGTGTGCTTGTTTAAACTTCCTTCTAATGAAGTGTTAGCAAACTTTTCAGTTAGATGGAAGGACTATTTATTTGAATCCCTTAATTAGTTGAAATGGATAAACCTAAAGCTGTACAGATGTCTTCTTTTTCAGTAATTGGAATTAAACGTGTAAGACTTTATTGGCTTGGGTTTGAAAGAAAAATTATTTTCTTTCGACCTTTGTTTCTGTATTCTTAATTAATTCATCCACTGGGCCACCCACGTGCAGGTTGCAATAATGACCTTGCTCAAAAGTCACCAGTTTTGGGGCAGAATGTAAATCTGTTCAACATCCAGCACTTGGCTGACAGAGGAAGATGTGGCCAGTTCAAAACCCAAAACTGGGCTTGTGCTTGAGGGAATCTCCCCGTGCAGCTCATCCACAGCTCAGCAATATTGGAGGCAATATTTGCAAAACAGCTCAGCAAAATAAGATAGCATGTTGATCTGTTTATGTTTGAAAATGTGATCAGGGCTTTTCTTTTTTTTCCTGTTCCCTGTTAACTTTTTATTGCATTAAAGAGGAATTTTCAGGAAAAAAGCAGCCGCAGTTTCCAAAGTTCATTTTCATTTGGTGAGGAGCTGATGGCAATTGAACCAAATCAAGATGCTTATCAGGAGCAGGAATTGTTGTGAAATTTTGGTCTGAAGCAAAAAGAAGCTCAGAGAGTGAAGCATATTCAATAATAAAACTTTAAGTAGAGCCATAATTCCACTGGTCATTAACACCAGGGCTTTTATTTTCGGAGCAGCTTTGGCAAAGGCTGATGTGATGTCCTGATGCTCAGAGATTTGGCCTCAATTTTCTTCACTTTTTATATCTCCATGTATTACAGAAGAATTCTTTTTATATATAAATATAAAAAGAGCAACAGGATTCCCTCAGAGCATAATACTGTCTGCCTCACTTTTATTAAAGGAGATCTGGTTTTTGTCAAGAAGACATTTTTGTCTCAGATAAATGGTTCAGGCTGAGCGTGAGGCTGGTTTGAGTTTATGCTGGATTCTATTAAAAGGAGTGCAGTAGTTAATGCCACAGATCTATCACTTTTAGCCCCTTTCCACTGAAGTTTGACCTTGGCTGTAACTTGGGGGAGGCTCTTTGTGAATCAAACTCCAGCTCTTTAAAGCATTGGGGATCTCAAGTGTACAGCAAATATTTGTTATACAATATTCATATTTCTAATTATTGCCAAACCTATTGGTTTTTATGATGATGGGATTACTCTTTTCTTAATTGTATTAAGAGTAGGAGCTGCTTGATTAGATTTGGGTCCATTTTTATTTGTGTTACTTTCATGTTTTATTTAAAAACATGTCTCCACTGGGATAAGTGGTGTAATTTGCCTTTAAAGATTAAAATAATTAAAGTCATAATTACGAGTGGCTTCTGCTCAGCAGAACAGAAAATACCACAGAGGAAGGAAAATATGGCACAGGAGGAAAAGGCTCTGGCTGCAGTTCTGCCCTGCCCTGGCAGCAAACACTGCTGGGGTAGTAAATGCACCACTGCCCTCTGTGCTTTGTCTCCTCTTTTAGGGTGAGATAAAGATGATTTGATGAATCTTTGATAAATTTATTTGATAAATCTTTGATAATACAGAGTTCTGCTGTAACAGAGCTGCTTTAGGAGCTGGTTTGGCTCAGCACACCCAGCCACGGGCCCTTTGGCTGGGCAGGTTTGGGGAAAATCCTGTTGCACTCTTGGTAAAATATTTTTGGGCATCAGGAGCAGCTGAGAGCTCGTTCAGGAGGAGCCTTGGTAGAGAATTCTCAGTGTTGGTCTCGTGCTGGGAGCTCTGCAAGGAGGATCCTGCTGGAGCTCTGTGGTCACCAGAGCCATGCTGGGAATTCTGAACCTTTCACAGTGAGAGGCTCTGGAAGGTTTTTTAGCAGAGTGGTGAGAGGCCACTACCTTGGAGAGGGGAGCCTGTTTGGGAGGAAAAAAATTCCAGCCCTGGGATTCCTGTGGGCTCTGCAGGCTCTGGGAGGGAGAATGAGCTGCTTCCCTTGAGCTCTCTGACAGCCCTGGGGGTGTTATTAGGGAAATTGTCCCTCTGCTTGGATCTCCAGGAAAAATTCCCAACTCTGCTGTTTGCAGGGGCACTGAAGCCTCCCCTGGCTGGAGGAGCTGGTTTGATGTTCCTAAAGCACTGGCTGTTGTATCAGCATCGTTTTGATTTCCTGAAGTTCTGTGAAAAGGGAAATCATGCTGGCATTTAAAGCTGTGCAAGCTCTGAACTGGGATGGGAACCAGGCTTTGCTTTGGTGGCATCTTTGTGAGGGACATTTGGTTGATGTTGCAGTTAAGTCAAATTTTTTCCTCCTTTCTTTGTAGTGTTGGAATTATAAAAAGTGATATTTGTTATCCCCAAGTGCAGTGCAGAAAAGCAGGGGAGGACCTGACAAGTCCTGAAGATTTCAGTAGATTGGTGATTTAAAAAAGCACTTTTCTCTGTTCCTAAAGGATTTATTTTTCCTGCTGATTTTAAGAAGAGGAAGAATATTTTTTCATCTTTCCATGCACAAGCAAGTGTTGTTTCCTTGTGTGTTCCCAAAGCCAGTTCTGTCCTTTCTGACACAGGCAGTGACACACATCAGGTGCTGAGAAAGGAGCCCTGAGTGTTGCATTCAATTTTTGAGTGGTGAAGGTTCTTTTATGGTTGGTATTTTTGGCTTTTATTTTGCTGTACTTGGTTAGTACAGGGGATGAACATACCTGAATTGGAATCTGCAAAGGCCAGTTTGCTATACCAGAAAATCAGCTTTTACAGTGCAAGGGGGAGATAAATGGGGATTTCCATGGGTCAGTAAATGGGATTTTCCCTCTGCAGTGTTTGTCCCCTGACCTGGGCTGTGTTCTGTCCCCAGGTGCTGGTGAGTGAGGACTCGGACAGCGATGGCATCGTGGCCCATTTCCCTGCCCATGAGAAACCCATTTGCTGCATGGCCTTCAACCCCAGTGGTAAGAGATGCCTCTGCTTTGGGATGGATGTAAACAAGGCAGGAAATGCCATGGGAATGTGTCCCCTGGCTGGTCCCACTGGGACACTGCAGGTGACCTGCTCTGTGGAATGTTGGATGTGTAATTTGTCTTTTCTGGAAATTTCAAATTGGTCTTTTCTGGAAATTTCAAACTCTTTTACTGTGGTAAGAGAGAGGAGATTCAGTCCCTCTTGCACTGCTGAGGAATTCCTGCCATCACATGGTTGTGATCCTCAGGTATCCAGAGGATCAGCACATGGGTTAAATTGTAGTCCTCCATGAGTACAGAAATAAAATTGTTTCACTGGTTTTTAAAGTAACTTATTATTTGTTGGCTAATGAAGAGTTTGTGATCTTACCCTCTCTCCTGAGTGAAATCAACTAAAATCTGAAAATACTTGGAAGAAACTCCTCTGAAGTACCTGTTTGTCTCCTTCCTCTTTATAAATGAGCAGTCACTGTGGGCAGCAGGTGCAGCTACAAACCTTGTGTACTAATTGATCTTATTAATCTGACAATTAACATTTCATTATCTGCAGATAAATAGTGTTCTGACTGACTGCAGCAGCACTCAGGGAAATGGTCAGGGAATCAACAGCTTCCAGTGCCTAAATTAACAATTTCTAAGATGTAGCAAATGCCATGAAGATCAGGAGGGTGAAGTCACATTTCAGGGAATAAAACTAAATGTCTGTCATTTATGTTTTCACTTTTGCTGACCAGTTGGTGTCATTCTGACACCCCATCTGTTGTGTCAGAACTCTTTAACAGTGCAGTGCAGTTCACTGGGATTTTGTGACAGAAAAGCTGCATTCTCATCTGCCTGGATTTTCTTGGAAGGGGATTTTTCATGGAGCTCTGTGCAGTGAACTGAGAATCCTCAGTTCCAGAACAGTCATTTTGCTTTGTGCTCTGGAAGAAGGATGATACCTAAAGTGGAGCAATGCTAATTAAATGAAATAAAGAAATGAAATAAATACAGCTGCTTAAATTAGAATGGTGAATAGATATTAATTAAATGCCTCCTTAAGAGAGTTTCTAGGATTGTGTAATTCAAAGGGCAGCAGAATGTTTATGCAAAACCAAATTAGCTTGTTATTTTTCAAAAGGAAGGATATTTTTTTCTTCTCTTATGATCAAATTCTTTGGTTTGCTCAGGTTCTGGGATGACAATAACTTAGAGAGTGACACTTAGATCAAATGGTGTTTAATGGCACAACACTTCTTTAAGTGATGTTATTTTTGGCTGTGTGAGATTTGCAGGAGGGATGGGGACAAACCAGCAGAGAACTCTTCCTCCAGTGAGAGCAGCACTTAGCCCAGGGTTGTGAGCTCTTTATTTAACATCAAGGCAGGATTTTGTTTGAAGCCAGGGCTGTAACATCATCCCAGCTCATTCTCCAGTGGTCATTGGCAATCAGGCTGAGCCCATTACAGAGAACAAAACAAGAGGTGCCTTTTGATTCTGTCCTTGGCTGCCTGCTCTGAAACCCCACTTTTAGTCCTAATTCCAGGCAGTGACCAGCACACAGTGCCTGCAGAGCTGTGCTGGCCAGGCAAACAGGGAGCACTGCTCTGATTCACTGAGAATTTTGCTTTCTGGTGCTGATAAACCCCTCAATGCCACCGTGTCTCAGCACAGGAGCTGCACAGGTGCTCAGGCCTGAGTTTTGGGAGGATCCCTTTGTAGGTTTTTATTGTGTTCAAAACGAGCAGAATCCTCCCTTCATTTGGACAGATCAGAGGTATAAAGGCCTTTATGAACTGTGATAATGAAAACCAACTTGTGTGTAAATGATCCACATCTCTCCATACTACAGGAATTGGTTTTTGTGCTTTTGAGAGTAGTTTTAAAGTCTGCTGGGCTGCAGCTTTATTTCAGTCAATTGTCTTTAGTTTTATTTGTGCTAAAGCTGGGTTGCTAAATACATTGTTGGCTACACATGGGCAAGTTCTCCACAGCCAGTGGACAATCTGTTCTTTTAGCCCATGAAGTTTCTTCCTGCTGCCCCTGCAGAGGGGAGGAAGGGCCAGATCCCCTGGGCTCCCCAGGGAAGGTGTTTTGGGCACAAGGCCTCAAGGATGCTATGTGGGGATAAGTGGAACGTGAAAACTTGTAGAGATGTTATTTTCACAATTTATAGATGAAATAAAGTGTAGAGAAATCAGCCCTAAATTTTAGATATGATCAATAATTCTGGAGCCTGGGTGTTCAAGTGTTGAGTTTGGGGTTGGAGGATGCCAGGACATTTCCTGCTCTTCCTCTGGAGTTCCACTTTCCCTGGGAGCCTCAAGTGATGCAGACCAATAATGACTGATTTGGAAGCTGGGCTGAGCTGCTGAGCCCAGCAGAGCAGGGGCTTGTGCTGGGATCCCAGGGAATTCCTGCTGTGGTCAGTGCAGAGCCTGAGCTGGACTTGGCCTCGTGGGCTCCAGGTGGGATTTCCAGAAGCATCCATACAAACATCTCCATCCCCTGCATCTGCTTTGGGAGGCAAGTGAAGTGTAGAAGTTTTCATGTCTCTTCAAAGGTTGTTTCAATCATTCACTCCTGGTTTTGGAAGGTTTGGGCCTCGTTTCCCTGTCAGGCTGCACTGCCAAGAACTGTGTGTACAACAAACCCTGTGGGCAGCCTGCAAAGATGAGAATTATCCCCTTGGATTTTTTAGGGCTTCTGCTTCAACTTCCAGTTTGTTAAGGCAAGTGAGTAGCCCTAGAGCCTCTGAAAAGGACATTTTGTGACCTAAGCTTCCTGGTGGTCTTCTCCTGGGACAGCTTTGCCCAGTAAAAGCTTTTTTCTACACTCAAATGTACCATGGAGGGATTTTCCAGCTGCAGGACTCGATCCTGGCTTCTCACCCTTCTAGAGGGAGCAAAAGACACAATATTTTTCCATAAAAGCCCTTAAAACAAACTGAAAATACAATGATTAAAACACTTCTGTAGCTATAGCTTAATCCACGCCCAGTTTGGGAGTAGGACCAGATTTTAAATCAATGGGATGGAGCAGGTACATCCCAATTTTAGTGTCAAAGAGGAAAGTTTTCAAATAAGATTCTCAATTAGTAAACAGCTGGAAAATGGTGCTGGTTTATAAATATCTGGGGTTTTTTTCTTTTAAGTGTGGTAAATAAATGATCCACTTTCCAGAAGTGTTGCTCCTGCCAGCTTGGCAGCTGAGAGCTGTGAAGTGCAAGACATTGAAAATTTAAAATAATTACGCTTCCTTGGCTACAAAAGAGATTTTCCACCCATTAATAACAAGAAAATTAATGTTGGGCCAGCAGTAAAACAGATTAAACTGTGTCCCCCTTGAGATGCCTGACTGCACCTTTAACAGACCTGAAATTGCTCTGATTATTTTAATGTTCTGTATTGAAATGTGACAGTGGCCTTGAGTTAATAGTTAAAGAGGGTGAAATTGGAACATCTCTGCACAAGTTTTTTCCCATTGATCAGAGAAAGTGGGCAGGAAAACACTTCTGGAGAGTCAATCAAGCTGTAATTATTTAATGACAGAAGAATTCTTCAGTTTTTCTGTTCATTTTCTTCTGGTTTTCAACTTGAATTATTGCCTTGGAAGACAAATATGTTAAAATTAAGGCAGTTTGGTGAGTTGCAGTTACAAATGTTGTGTCCCTCTGTCCCGTGTCACCAAAAGGAGGAATCTTTCATGATTGATGGCTTGATCAAGAATTGCATTTTGGGTTGGTTGTGAAGGAAGAGCTGTAGCCATGGATTATTTTAGGAGTTAAAGGAGTCATAGGGAGTTATTTATTCACAAAATAATATTTTATTTTGCTTGTCTTTCTTTTGACTTCTTGGGATTTTTTAAATATTTACATTAAATCTTTACGTGCTTGCGTTTATTTTGCGGTGAATTTTGCTAAAATCAGAATTTCATCATTTAGTTGAGGTTTTTTTGAGACCCAGTTTTGTAACTGCAGCACAGGGTCCACTTGGGAGTACCCAGGGGTTGAGCAGCTCTGATGTTTGGCTGTATTTTCACTTGCCTGGGACAGGGGTTGAGTGGGTATAAATAACGCTGCTCTTCTGGGTCCAGATGCCTCAGAAAACGATGGGCCAGGTAAACTTTGTCACATGAATGCAATTGCTCAGCCCAGGGAGCTCAGTGGAACAGGAATCCTGTCCCAGGAGCCTGTGGAAGGTGGCAATGCCAGGAGAAATCCATGTGGACAGAAGCAGGAGTGGCTCTAGGTCACTGCGGCTCCCTGAGCGCTCTGAGCTGTAATTTGGGAGCCTCCAAAGCTCAGTACCAGCCTTGTGTGGGATCCCAGGTCAGAGTTCCAAACTGAAGTGTGAGAGTTCATGTTTCTAATCACTTTTTGGACAGGCAGTGAGTTTGTGCCGTGGCTGGACTGGTCTCTCTGTGGCTGGGCATGGAAATCTGAGGGTTGCATTCCTAAATCTTCCCATGGATCCACGTTTCCTCCCCACAGATGTGTGCCTGATTCCCAGCACTTGTGCCCTTGGTGTTTTGAACAGAAATCCAAGACAGCTTGAAGGTGTTGAATCCTCCAGTGAGTGCTGGCAGAGTGACACAGTTTGGGGAGGTGGAAAACCCTCTGGAAACTGAAGGGAAGCTCCTGGTGAAGCTCCAGGCCTGGGGACCTCATTTATATGCACGCAATCAGCAGCTCTGTAATTAGGGAGGTGTTACAGAGAGGATGTGGCCGGGCTGCCCAGCTCTCCCAGCGCTCTCTAATTTGCCCTGGGGCTGCCAGGGGCTCAGCACTCGGTGTCCCATCAGCAGCTCCAGTGCCAGCCTCGGGCCAAGGCTCAGCAGCCGAGGGGAGGAAGCTCTCAGATAAACACGGCGCAGCCTCGGCTCCCATCGCTCCCCTTCCGCTTCCAGGCCCTATAATTAGCAGCCTTTCTTTTCCTTGTATTCCCAGTTGACGCAAATGCTTTTTGTGGCTTGGCACCTCATTTAGGGCGTGGGCTTAGTTTATGGCCAGGCCAGAGTCTGGTTTAGTCTTCTGATACTGCATAAATAGCTCTTAAGCCACAGTCTACATCTGTACTAGTTTTTCCTTTTATGCATATATTCCTCGTGTTTTTATTTCTGTCCTGAAAGAAGCTGATTGTTTCCCCAAACAGAATGCAGGAAAAGTAGGAAGCTGTAAATTAGGGCAGGTAAAACAAAGCTTTGCTAATTTTTTTTCCCCATCTAGGATATCTGTTCCTTTGAAACTGGATTTTAATCATCCCTGTGGATTTAAAACAACCACACAGTAAAACAGTCATTAATTTAATCTGGCTGCACCCTCGTACTGTGGATAAGCAAAATCAGAATTTTTGCAATGAGATATATACTAAATGAAGTCTGGTTTACACATAAATTTCCACTGTGTCCAGTGTATGCAAGACTTCCAATGGATTTCAGCTGTTATCTGTTAAACAGGGATTAATGTCAGTTGGAAAAATAAGCAGGAAATCCTCAAGAATTATTCACTTTTCATCTCTGATTATTCACCCATAAAGTCCCTCATAAGAGAAAATGTTCAGACTGAACTTAGCATGGCTTTAACCTGTATTTCCTTCTAAACAACTTTTTGGGAAAACTGTCACAAGGCCTCTTCAGCAGCTTGAGTTGAAGTTTCCTGCACTTGAAAGTGAAAGTGAGGTAGGACCAGGATTCTGGTTTGTGTTTCTCCGCTGGGATTAGGAATTCCTGCTGGGATGCTGCAGGGAGATGGAGAGAGAAACAAAATGGCTGAGCCGTGATAATGGAAAACTGGGATTCTTCAGTGTGAAGTAATGAGAGCTGGAAAATCCCACCACAAACCCCAGCCCAGTGTTCTGAAACATGGGTGATTTATTGTTTGAATAACAGGGACGAGGAAGAGATTTCAAAATGCTGTTTTATAAATACACGTTCTTTCCCATCTGTGGTGTTGTGCTTGGGACCTCCGTGTTGATACAAGTCCTGCCAGAATATATTTGTACTTCAAATGCAAATGTGGGTGTGAAAGGGCCTCCTTTAACTTACTGAAAAAGAGTCTCTAATACAAGTGAAGGGCCTGTTTTCCCTGGGCTTTCATCTAATAAATGCATTTATTCCAAATGGGACAGGCAGCCGGAGTTTAGATTAGACACAAACTGCCAAATCAGATACCACTCATCTTTCTATTTTTAAGTCAATTTCTTTCCAGCCACAAATGTATTATCTTTCACCTCTGTACTCCTTCAAGCTAGCAAAAACAAAGAAAAGAAACCCCAAACCAGACCTAGAAAACCCAAAGGCAAAGCACACATGGAACCAAGAGCTGGGAGCATCATCTGGAGCTGCTCAGAGCTGCAGGTAGATGGGTGAATGTCACAGCCGTGGCTCTTGGGATCCAGGGCGTCACTGAAGGAACAAACAGGGACCACCACGGGTTCTGGGGGCTCGTGTGCCACAGGTTTTGGTGTTTGTGCCCAGAGTGAGCCCTGCTCTGCCTGAAGAGAGCACTGTAGGGTTGGGCAGGAGCCTGTGAGGAGCAGGGGGATGATGACACCCTGCCTGCAGCGCCCGCAGACACCTGGAAACCAGATTCTGCTGAGCTGAGCACCCCTGGACTGCATGGACAACAAGGATGGTGATCCTGTGTTTTCACTGGCTTGGGATTATTGCACAGTGTTTTGTCTCCAGTTCCAGACAGATTTTTGGCAGATTTAGGGGGGTTTTTTACCATCTTCCGTGCACCATGCTGTGCACTGGGATCCACAGGAAAAACGCTCTGCTGGGATCTCTGGGTGCACTCAGCCCTGGGTCTGTATTTATAAAAACTTCTCAAACCTTGGGGGAGGAAAAAACATCTGTTTACAGAGCTTGTCTGTTTGGTATTCAAAGAAGTCTTAGGGATCCATCTCTTCCAGCTTCTCCTCCAAAGGTCCTTTCCATCAGGAATAAGAGAGAGCACGAAAGGACCCAAAGCACCTCCATGTCTGTATAAAGCTGTCTAATGCATGAGGAGAGACAAGCATGGGAATAGAGAAGATAAATTCTGACTGGGTTGAATTAGATCTTTTGGAATATCCTCACTCCAGTAACAGCAGCAGCCTGATTCCAGCACACAAACCCCTCTTTGCTTCCAGCTTTCTCTGCTGGAAATGCTATATATTATTGAGGACCGCACACTTCACTAGAGGGGAAGTGTAGTTTGTGATGTTGCAGAACAGAATTAATGCAAATTGTGTGCATAATCCCACACGAAAGGCTTGGCTGCCTCGCACCGGAGCAACTTGAGCTGTATTTCCTATCAACACAGTCACTACAAATCAAGGAAATTGCCAGTTAAGCCAACATTAACATCCAGACCAACCTCAGCTCACATGCCTTACCGCCCAAACATAATACCCCAGCGCTCTCCTGGATTTCTCAGCTCCATAACAAACTCCCTTTCATTTCTAGCACTCGGGGCCGGAGGAACAGCCGGGAACAGTAAAAGTGTGTCTGCTGGAGGGAATCTTGCTGAGCTCAGACGTGAGCTGCTGCGAGCTGCAGGAAATGCCTGGGTGCAGCGTGGGTGGCCGGGCCGGGCCCGGCCCTGCCAGCCTCAGTGGTCAAGCTGAGGGGAAGCTTGGAGGCAGTTTTGTCTCCGAGAGTAATTTGGATTTTGTACCTTGCTGCTGGTGGGCCTCAGCATCTTGGAATTGCGTGTTTGCCTGCACAGGATCCTTCTTTCAGAGGTTTTGGGGAAGCCGAGGGTGCCCTGTTGGTGCCACGCAGGCTCTGAGGGTGCTGCCCTGGGAGGGGTTTCAGGACATTGGACCCACAGGGCCAAGCCTTCAGCCTCTGAGGCCAAAGGAATTTTTCTTTCTGGGCCTAAAGAACCAGGAAAAAAAGACAGAAATTTTCCTGTCTGGGCCTAAAGGACCCAATCTCCTGGATCCCAGCATTGCCATGGAGGGAAAACACTCAGGATACCAAGCCAGTGATGAAATGGTGTCCCATAGAAAAGCTAATCACAATTAATTTTTACTCTGCTGCCTGGCATGCTTTTTACAGTTTAATACTAGAATTTTCCAAGTGTCATAAGGTAGGAAATCAGTGGTAATGTGTGAGAGGTTTCAAATGTGTGCTGTTGGTATCTAGGGCAGCAGAGGGAAAAGCAGTTTCTGGTATCACCTGTAAATAAATGAAGGCAATGGATACTCATTTATGGCAGAAATAAGATAACCATGTATCCTGTGAATAAGTGTGATGTAAAACATGGGGATTAAGTTCTCTTCCTGCAGGATAAAAGATTTCAGTTGTGCTTTATGTGGAAAAATGTTGCAACAGACCTGAGTGGGAATTCCTGGTTTTTCTTTAATAGATGGCTACCTTGAAAATTATTTAGAATGTCACTATTAAACTGCTAAAATCACTTTGTACTTGTTAACTAAATGTCAGAGGGCTACTTTGGGTGATAACCTATTAAATTTCATGAATAACAGAAAAATAAATCTGTGGTTTGTCACTGTAATTGTAAGTTCTGCCATAATGCTGTGTTTTCATTATATGTACAAAAATACTTGATTTTTTGTACCAATTGGTATAAATTTATAACAAATTGACTTCAAGTATCTTTGTAAAAAACTGGGTTATGGTGTGGGCTGAGACATTGTGGGATAAAAAAGTAAATAGCAAATTAAGTTACTGTGGTTCTGCTGATCTAATTGAATTATTTCAGTACCTCCACCAGTGACCTGTTTTCAATGAACCTGGTACCTCATTTAGTGTTTCATTTGAAAGCCCTCAACTCTGCTTTTCACCAATAAATCAGACAGTTTCTTTCATTTATAAGGAAGATGCTTCTTCAGGATTGTTTTGGTGTGGGCTGTTTTGGCTGGATTTCGATAATCTCTTCTTCCAAAAATTGTTATTGTGGAGACATCAATCTTTTTTAGACTGGCTCTTGCCCAGGGAAGAGCATTTTGGGGTTTTGCTGTAACATTCATCACTTCAATGCTTCATATTGGTCACACAGTTCTCAAATTTAGTTGGAATATTCAGATTTTTCAGATGTTTTTATAGATTTGTGTTGTAATACTATCTTAATATATTAATACTTAAGTAGTAGTACTGTGAATATGATTGCAGTTGAAGTCCTGATTTATTTTTATGAGGTGAATCCCTTTCAATTCAGTAATTTTCTGTGTTTTCTTCTGTTTCCAAACCCCAAATGTAAGCCACACTCAGTGTTTTTTAGACATTCATTTTAAGCCTCTTTTGCAGTGATTAATCTTTTGCGCTTCTGTGTTTCTGTTTTTTCTTTTTTTACCCAGGGATGTTGCTGGTCACCACTGACACATTAGGCCACGATTTCCATGTTTTCCAAATCCTGACACATCCTTGGTCATCATCACAAAGTGCCGTCCATCACTTGTACACACTTCACAGGGGAGAGACCGAAGCCAAAGTAAGTGAAACTGTGCTGAGGAATAATCCCCAGGCACCTTATACATTCTGTGTATGTTGGCACTTTAATGTTTGTTTCAGCACACAAAGAGCCTTTCTTGTGCTCCAGCCACAGAAGGGATAAGAGCAGAGCGTTTAACCTGGACAATAATAAATTCTTGCCCTTTGCAATGAGGTGCTGTCAGATTTATTCAGATCTGGCACTGCCTCCAAAGAGCCCCGATTATTGGCTGTGTTTGCACTTAACCTTTTCTCATGTAACATGTTCAACATTTGTCTCGTGCCCGTGAAGGAACTGTCAGCGTTTGCCTGACTCTGGTGGTAAAAGCCACAGACAGACAATTAAAGAGTTGAAAGGAAGAGTTAATCAAAAGGCTGTGATTAGCTTTTCTTGGCACTGTGAGGGAACCTGCAGAGACTCCCCAGTTTAACTTCCCTCTTGCAAAATCCCCCTGTGAGAGATGGAGGGCTAAGTTAGGATATTATCCAAGGGTGGAGAAGTCTGGAATTGCATTTTAAGCAATGCTCAGTGAAGTGATTTGCTGGGAGGTGGGGAACAGGGATCTGCTCTCACTGGCAGGGCTGTGCCTGTGGCAGAGACACGTTCTGCTCGAGTCCTTCGTGGCAGAGCCTCACCTTTGGAGCATGAGGAAGTGCTGAGGAACCTGCTTTAAATACAGGAATAAAAATGTCACCACAGGGTAGGGAATGAGTATTGCACTTGCTGATGCAATTACACACGGGAAGCACAGACTTGTGGCAGCCTGGCAGATGTAAAGCACAGTGACAGGGACAGCCTGGGGCTCTGTGATTGTGACCCTGGAACTGGGAGCTTTGGCTGCTTCTGGGACCTGATTGCAGTTCCTTCAATTTTTTTTTTTCCTTGGGAGTTGAGCAGTTTCTCTCAAGTTTCTCACCATACCTTTGTAACAAGTGGAATGTGGAAGCTTTATTGAATGTAGCAGTGGTTGATCAAGTTTTGTTCTGGGTGAATTTACATTTCTGTAGTTTAAATACTCTAAAGCTTTCCTGCTGCCATTCTGGAAGAGTGGAATTGCTGTTACAGGCAATGGTTTACTATAAGAAGGAATAACCAATCTGGAAAGTGAGAGGAAATTAGGAAAAACTGTTCATTTGGGATAATATATACAGTTCTAACAAGTAGTTTTTATACATATTACAAAGAGCAGTGAGAGCTGTGTGTATACACATCCTCTGCCATCTACTTGGGCACGTTCTATAAGGTGTTTAATGTTTTAGAGTTATTTTTGTTCTCCCTTCACACAAAGACTCAATATTGAAACCCAAAGCACAGGACTTCAGTCATGAGGAACAAAGATGTTCTTCTGGTTTTTACAGCTGATAAATTTGTTTTCAAGGCACACATTGGAAACCAAACAGAACATGTTTTAGAGAAGAAACCCTTATTGATACATGTTTTTTTGGGATATAGTATTAGCATCTCTGTGAAAGCATTGCATTAAAATTCTCAGAATCAACATAGTAAAATTTTTTCCTAGTTTGCCACACAGTTTTCATTTGGGATGTGAACAGTATAGCTTTTGGAATGGAATAAAATGGAGAAAATTCTTACCAGTCTGAGGTGTGTTGGTGGATTTCACAGCTCCCTGGATAATTAAACAATATTGCATTGGTACCTGTGATTCTCAACACACATGGTTTGAAATATTTATATAATATGAGGGATTGTTTCACTTTTTTTCTTTGGAATAACAGCACTTGTAGCTGTTCAATGAGAAGAGAGTTTGCTGGTGCTGCTCTTTTGTTGTGTGAATTTCATGTATGAGGAGCATTAGACAAGAATTTTGGAGACTGTTCAATGTAAAACTCTCAGTGCAGCTCACACTGGGAGCCTCTGTGCCTCCTGTCTGGTTAGAACAGTATTTATACATTTGCTACCAAACCTTTTTCCTTTTTTCTTTTTTTTCCCCTCTGGTTTAAACCTAACTGTGAATCAAGGCCAATGGTCTTAAAGGTCACCTTCTGTACTGGAGCTATAAAAAGTTCTAATTTGTGTTGATGGACATGAGTGATTATCAGTGTCAGAATTTGTTTAGCCAGTACCCATTATAAATTGTTTAAACATCATCATTATGGCCTCGTTATTTGTGGGATTTTAATGTCCCTCTGAAATCAGCTCTGCTTTTGTATGTGAGATTTTGGCTGACAGAGCTTCACCCTGCTTTTCCCAAAATCTCCTTTTTGTGACTCAGATGAAGATGGGGTGGGAGGGAAGGTGGGCCTCTGCCTCAGAAGGGAGTTGTGAAGACAATGACCATGGCAGAAGGTGAAGTGCTCAGATAATTCACTGAGGCCCAAGGTGACAGTGTTCCAAGTCACTGTTCTGCAAACACAGACAGAAGTCCCTGCTTGGTTGTACCAGATCTTTCAGCTTTTGAGTGCCACTTGTGCTCTAGATTTTATTGTTTTTTTCCCTTAAGAGGACAAAGAGCAGCCCTGAATAACACCAGGAAGGTCCATTGCAGGGGCTGGCTGTATTTGACTGAGTCAGAGCTGAACCTCTCAGAGGATCTATGCTTGCACAGTTCAGCTGCAAAGAGGAGAAATGTGCTCGTGTATGTGCTGCACATTTGGGTTAAGGGTACATCTGCTTGTCCTCCAGCTCCTGCATTGTGAGGCAACACTTACTGCACTCAGGTTTTTACCCAAGAGCATTCTGGAAGGTTTTTAATGAAGTCATAGCATGTTCTGAACTGAGGAAGCTCATTTACTTGCAGATGAAAGTTAGCCTGTCACCTGATGATCCTTTCTCTTTGATCTGAAATTGTAAACAGCAAAAGCAAAATCCCTGCAAACAGCATTATCTCAGCCTAGGACAAATAAACGCAACGATAGCATCAGCTGGCTGCTGGCCAGCTCCTCTGTAATCCTGTACTCTGTCAGACTCCTGCTATTCCCACTCCCAAACTGCAGCTACCACTGACTTCAGCTGGAGCAGGTAAACAGGGAATGATAAAAACATTCCAGCCTGGCTGCTGATGGGAGGCTTTTCCAGGGAATGCACGAATGTTTCAGTGAAGTGATTGCACAGAGACTGCTCAAGGTTGTGTCACAGCCTGTGCCCAGGTACTGAAACATTGGAGCAACTTCCTGATCTTGGATGTGAATCTTCATGGCTGTGAGAAATTCCTTCCTGTCTGTGACATGTTCATAGTTGCAGTTATTGAAATAGACTCTGTAAAACGAGGAAGACTTTGTTATTTCTAGGAAAGAAGCTGGGGATGGGCTTGAAATAATCAGGATTGGTTTTGGGAAGTTGATCAGTGTCAGATGAGAGCTGCCAAGAAGAAGCTGCTGCAGTCAGAAGTGGCTTGGCTGCCCTGGGGAGCTGGAGCCCTGAGCAGCATTTGCAGGCTCAGTCATTGATAGAGAGCTCAGCTCTGGCTAAAGGCCCCACGTGGATCTCCCTGTGCCCACATTCTGCCCTTGCTTTTACACAGAACTGAAATCAGTGTCGAGGACTTGGGGAGACACAGTTGGGTCTGTGTGGGTCTGATAAATCACATTGTGTAGACCATGATTTTATTATTTTTTCATTTATGTTTGTTGCTACATCATTTCCTTAATTTTCTCAGCCAAAAAAATTCACATACAGACCAGTTTTCTAATTTATTTTGACCCTTACCTCCTCGGGACTGCTGCTCTTTCTCATTGCTTAATGATACTGGTTTGTTCTTTCTGCCATCTCCCTGCACAGCATAATTCAATACTTGAGTCCTGTGCTTCAAATCAGGGTGTTTTTTCTCTGTGACACAGCACAGTGATCATGAACAGGTCACGTTTCTGTTGCAGCACTGCTGGTCCCACTCTCCAGGTTTAATTAAATGCAGTAAAATGCACAAGAACATACAGATTGCACCTGGTGTAACTCCACACAACTGACAGAGGGAGTGGTAAGAAGGAAGAAAAGAGTGCTAGGAAGATCAAAATGTGGTTTATTTCTGATCATTACTATTGAAATCCAGGGTTCAGCATTGTGAGGTTGGTTTTCTGTTCTGTGATTTACCTGGACACAGTCCTGGGCCAGGTGCTCTGGGCTGACCCTGTTTGAGCAGGGAGCTTGGACCAGATGAGCTTCTGTGGCCCCTTCCAACCCAGCCCATCCTGTGATTCTGTGATTCAGAAATTATTTTCTGATCTGTACAGTATTGAAAGCTGATCCTCAGTGGGGCTGTTGACATGTGCTGTGTCCTTGGAGGACTCTGTATATTAAATTACCTGACTGTGTCACTCAGGGCAGGCTCTGAGTGCTAGCTACATTTTAATTCAGTTTTCTGGAGGATTTTACATCATAATGTTCAAAACACGGGGAAATAGAGAAGTGGAAGTTACAAAGAAGCACAGAAGAGTAATTGGAGGGAAGCAGGAGAAGGCAGGAAGCACACTGGCTTTTTGGAGGATGTCCAGAGGAGGCCACCAAAATGTTTAGAGGGCTGGAGCCCCTCTCATACGAGGAAAGGCTTAAGAGAATTGGGATTGTTCAGCCTGGAAAAGAGGAGGCTCTGGAGTGGTGCATTTGTGGCTTTCCAGTACCTGAAGGGAGCCTGCAAGAAAGATGGAGAGTCTAGGACTGAAAAGAATTTGCAAACATCTTATGGGTTCCCAAATTAAACAAAATCTCAGGTCTGTAATTCCCTTTGCTGGTCCAGACAGAAGAGGATAGATAAAATTTTAAAATACAGACGTGAGTATTAAATGTGACATTGACCTTGAGCTATAGCATAAACTTTGCATCGTGAGAGATCTGCTGTACTTTGTACTTTATTAACATATATCTGTAAACACTATGGGGTCTTGATTGATCTTTGGTATCTAAACATTACATCATAATTAACAACAAATCCAGAAATATATTATAAATACATGAAATAATAGTACATTAACCTAAAGAACAGCAATAAACTGCAACGCTTAGCATAAACTTGAAAACCACTAATGGGCCACTGTGCAGTTTGTTTATACTGTGAGCAGTCGAGAACTCGGCGTAATGTACAGGAACGTGGTGAGGAACAGCACAGCCCAGGCATAATTTATAGGGCTTTATTCATGGACACAGCTGATTTTTGAAGTTGTTTCTGAGACTGCCACGATGAGCATTGTCCTTTCAGCCTGGTCCATGCCTTCTTCCAGTTCTCCTGGAGAGCTCCGGGCTCCTTTGCGTTGCACAGATGGGTCTGTGCTGGTTTGGTGTGAGCGTGTTTAATTCATGCCCTTGGAATTGGAAATGTTCTCTGAATCAGCTCCCTGGACTCCTGTGGTTCTGCTGCTCCTCCTGGATCTGTGGAAGGCAAACGGGGCTGTTTGAGACCAGTGAGCAATAGGTGAATCACGTGGAACAGCAGCTTCCAAAATACTCTGCCCCTGCTGAGCAGGGTCTCATAGCTCTGCTCCTGTAAATCTTTATTCATTGCACACTCTGCTGTCAATGCTTTTTTCCATGTTATTCCTGAGCATGAGAACCCTTCTGCCTTTGTGGTTTCAGCCATGTTTCAGGCAGCCATGGCCACGATGCCCGCTCTGACTGCAGCCAGCGTTTGAGCACTTTTTGGGATTATGGAGTTCCACACTTTCTTCCTGTAGATCAGGAATACTTTTTTTCTTTGTAATGTTTACACTGAGGAAAAAGAAAACATCCTGTAGTGATTGTTTCCCAGTTTCTTGGCTGGGGTTGTCATTTGCCAGGGTTGTTGTGTGTAGTTTTTGAAAGAACATAACCCTCGGGGTGCCAACTGGAAACAGAGCACTAAAGTAGAAACACACAGTTCTGTTGCATGCTACAGTGAGATGGAATTTCTTCTCTGTCATCTCATAGTTCTGGTGTAACTGAGAGTGGCAGTTTCTACACAGTTCATATGTTTGGTTTTGACCAGGAGAATTTGCCACTTTAACAGCAAGTACTGAAATACTCTTGGTGCCATCGTTTTTCCTGACTCCACAGCCTTTGGAGGTTTTTGGAGCCCTTATTAATCCCTGTGGGGTCTCTAATCCCTTCTGAGCAATCAGTTAGGGTGAAACACTTTGTAAGCCAGCTCAGAGCTCCGAGTGCTGCACTGTAGGTGTTCAGAGCTGAATCCTGGAAGTGCCAAAGCTGTCAGCTTTGGGGAGCTCTCTGAGCTGCCTCCTTTGGGGATGTCACCAGGGCTGAAAGGAGCAGGTGTGCAGCGCTGGTTTTAGTGGATCTTGGTAATGTTGATGAAGCATTTTGTGTAGTGACAGTCTGTCAGTCAAATATCTTGTCACAAGTCACCAGACTTAAATCCTTTTTTTATCTCCGAGGCTTCAGGCTCAGTTGGAAACTTGCACTTTGGTGAATACTTTGCTGCTTTTGTCTGGAATAGCTGGAGTGCATTTCTGGAATATTTGTCAAGATTTTATCAGTGTTTACTCCAATTTGAGTACCTAGTGCATTGTAAAACTGGCTTCAGTGAAATCTTAAAGAATTTTATTTAGCTTATGCTGTTTAATAATACAATGAAAACTAATCCTTTCTCTATATGTTTGTTTGCCGTGCTAAATCCCACTTATGTCCATGGTTCCTTTTAGTCAGCTTTTACCTTTAAAAACATTTTTGGAAGAATTGTTTCAGGACTTTTTTTCTCTATGATAAATCATTTTAACTTCAACTACTTGTTTTCTTGAGTTGTCTGCCAGGACGGGCTTGGAAACAAACTTTAATCTCTCTTTTAAAGCATTCCTTCAGGAACAAGAATTTGCTTTCCATCAAAGCGTTGTGTAAAGCACACTTGAAAGAGAATTAAATCCTTCTGGACTTCGTATCTGAGATCTATGCAAGGAGTAACCCTAGTGGAAAATGTTTAACTGTATTTTTATATTTGCTTCAAAACTGACCATTTTAAGCTAAAATAAGACTTGTGCCAGTATTGGTCAAAATCAGGCCCAGTGGTGAGATCTCTCTCTTTTGTTCTCATCCCTCCCTTTTCCCGTTTTTGGGCAATCTCTGAAGATTAAACAAGCAAATACAAAACATGCAATTGAAACAATTTCCCAGCTCTTTTTAGAACAAAATTCTGTTTGAAAACTACATCAAGATCTTGTGGCTTTGTCATAATGGTTTGTCGTCATAATCTCAGAATATTTTGAAAAGTACACAAAATTTGGAACTGTGAATTACAGTGTATATACCAAATACTTAGTCCATTGATAAATGCACCAAAATTCAAGTTATTGCTCAAATGTGAGGGAGTTTTTTCCCATTTCCAGTTCAGATTGTGTTTGAGACACGGCTCCTGTGTTGGAGGTGAGCACCTTGGTGGCTTCATTCCCCTGTCAACCCTTTTTTCCAGGTCCAGGATATCTCCTTCAGCCACGACTGCCGCTGGGTGGTGGTCAGCACGCTCCGAGGCACTTCCCACGTGTTCCCCATCAACCCCTACGGAGGCCAGCCCTGTGTCAGGACCCACATGTCCCCACGCGTGGTCAATCGCATGAGCCGCTTCCAGAAGAGCGCGGGGCTGGAGGAGATCGAGCAGGAGCTGACGTCCAAGCAGGGCGGGCGCTGCAGCCCCGTGCCCGGCCTGTCCAGCAGCCCCTCTGGCTCACCTCTCCATGGTAAATCCTCTTCCTTCCTTTCTCTCTGCCATCAGCATAATATGGATTTCATAAAATGCTGTAGATAGCGTGCAAAAATACGTGGTGTAAGCAGATAGTGCAGGAACGAGCCAGGGTGGAAACGCTTCGGAAAAATCAGTTCTAGTTTTGCAGTTTGCTTTAAGAATTGATGCTATCACAGATGTGTTAATAATTTCTACTCAAAACTAAAAGGTTGGGGTCTTTAGGTTTCAAGTTTTGTTTTCATGTCACACACTGTCAGTAAACTGGTCTGTATTCAAAGAATTTTATTGCCTAAAATTCTCATTGCTCATTGGCCTTGGTGATCACAAAGCACATCTGGATATCTACAATAATACTGCTTGGGGAGAAATGTGGAACAAGGCAGTGGGGAGCTGATGGCACAGATTAGTGTCTGCTTTTTGTGTGTGTGGGAACAATGTGACAAATAATGTGTAAAGGTAAAACAGTCTGTAAGAACTGATCTGTCCATCCTGTTCCTGTGGTGTATGTGCCTTGGAGAAACTCAAAGGATGTGAAGGGGAGCTTCAAAAAATGTTCAAAAATTACCAATGTCACAGCTTTTCCAGTTTATCTTTCCTTTCAGCTTTTTCATGGAGTCTGTGCTAGAGGCTGTCTTGCTTGCATTCAGGATTTGCTGCATCCTTATGCCTCCTTTCTGTTGAGAGTAAGTCACAAGTTCCATGGAAGTGGAAGTTTGAATAGCAGTTTGTTTGGGGTAGCCACCCTTTTCCAGTCTGAGAGTATTAAAAATGGCCAGGAACAGTCCCTCTGCCCTAATTATGAGTAGGATTAGGAGCTCTTGTGAAAGCCCAACTATGTGCTGGGCTTTCTGCTATAGAGGGAACCTTTGTGGGATTTCTGAATCAAAGGAACTGTTTTATGACTTGGTGATTATTAAGGGAACCAGACTTGTCTCAGAACAACCCTCTCTATTTTTGCCTCTCTTTGGACTTCTCTGAACAAAGGTTTGTGCATGGCTGTTCTGGAGCCGTCCTCTTCTGCCTGGAGCCACTGGAAGGCACCCAAAACGTGCTCGGAACTTTCTTCCTCTTTGGAGACAGTTGTGTAGCCACCATTTCACTTCCTCTCATCTCTGTACAGCAGCTCAGCCTGAAACAGGCTGGGGAGTGCTCCAAAGGTTTGCTATGGCACATCCAACTACTTGTAACTGTGAACATCATGGAGAGGAGAGGAAGGAACTGTCAATTTGTGGCTAGCACCCAGCCAATTCTATTTTCTGTCCAGGGAAATTGCACTGAGTTGTTGCCTTTACAATCCTCTGAGGTACATTTGAAGTTTTGAATAGATTTGACACTTTTTAAAAAGAGGAATCAGCAGTTTCAGGATGCTCAGTGGTGGAGGTAGGAGCCAAGCGTGCATGGATGAGGCACAGAGAAAGGCAGCAGCTTTTAGGGGAGTGTTCAAGAGTTCTGGGGCTTCAGTTTGCAGATGTCTGTCTTGAAAGATAATAAATCAGATTTCTTTCAAGATCTCTGTGCAGCCATCACTGCTTGAAAATCAGATCTGTTTGAACAAACAGCTCCACTGGAAGTCTGCACGTGGGTGCTGAGAATTAAGGCAGGAAGGTGGCTTTGATTCCTGGAGGACTTCACACAGATTGTGCTCATCACTTCCACAGTGCAGAAGTTGGACACATGCTATGATTGTGTGTGGGTAACTTGCAAAATTTCATATGAACGTTTTCCATGAGAAATTTGTGGGGATTTGTAGAGGAGTTAGCACAGATGCCTTAAAAAATTGAGGAAAAAAAAATAGTTGTGTTTGAAAGAGTCCATTTGGTAAAATACTGTAATATTTTCAGTAATTTTATTGCTGCTTTTTCATTTCAGTAATCTTTCAGTTCCCCTGGCTGAAGGCAGGCAGGATATTGAACCCTATTCTAAGCTTTTTATAAAAAGCCATTTATCATCAACTTGTAAAAGACCCCTGAAGTTCAGAGTGACTTTCAGCAGAGGGACTGTGTGTGTGTGTGTGTGTGTGTGTGGCAGCAGGATTAGTCAGAGACCGATGATTATTTTAATTTGTGAGCTAAGATGTGTTTACTCAGATTGTAACAGCTCCTTACCATATTATAATGTTAAATTATTGTTGTTTGGAGGAGTCCCGGCAGTCTGGTGACAGAAGTGTAAACGAGCACTCGAAACAGAAAAGAGCAGTTCTGGGTTTAATTCTTTGCTTTACTTCTAAGTCTCTCTGCAAGCCTTGGTGAATTTTATTCAGCTGATTTTGTCTGTCAGCTCTCTGCTGTGTGACAACAGTAATAATCTCTGTGTTCCCCGCGTGTGCAGTGACTTTAATTTTGCAGCTTTCTTCGAGAAGAATAACTGTTATGTTCCTTAATCACCCCGCTAAGTGCAGATGATTATAATGGAAATAAAACCAGAGCCCATGTCCTGGAGAGCACCACTGCTCTGGGACAAGGTGTTGATTAAGTGACTGATTCAGAGGAGATTGTGGCAAACTGGAGGATTTTTCTGTGTGCAGTCACGTCATCACGATTTTCCTCTTACATCTTTTCCAATTTTCAGTAAAGCCTACATAAAAAAACTGCTTTTAATCTTTATGCTGATATCTGTCTTATCTTCCCTTTTGCTTGGCAATCATAACTTATTGATAGTAACTTGTGATTAGCTTTTGTTCTTGTAAATATTTTCAGAGCTCGGGCTCTGTCGGATTTTTCTCACTTGTTTTTTTCCTTCAAGTCTCAAAATGAAACTGTTTGCAACTGTTTGTGTATATAGTAGCAAGGCAATCTATTTACATTATGTTGGAGCACCCTAGGACTGTTTACCCACACAATGTCAGCCTTTGCTGGGGGTAGGGATGATTTCATTTCCAAATGAATCATTGTTTGGCTTTGTTCTTTCCAGCAGAATGAAGTAAACTGTTAAATAGAGGATGATAAAGAGATATTTCCTTTGCACCTTTTATAGCCGACAGAGATTTTGTTTGGGCTGTTCTGTCTGTTAATGCAGCGAGGTTGTATTTTTGTCATTCCCTTGGATTGCCAGAGTGTGTTGTCAGGAATATCTGAGTTATGTTGGGATCCTTTTATGGGCTTTTACTATTATAAGACTGTTACAACATCGGTTGGTTGTTGGGGTGAACATTAGGGTAAAATATGGCCTTATGTGACCATTTCACTTGTATAAAATTGGGTTTATGGTCTTTACCTGTCTCCCAGGTAGGCTGTGGGATTAAGGGATGAGTTGTTAAAGCAGAGCATGCCATGTTGCAAACTTCTCCGTGTTCTCTTCAGGACACATATGAATAGCAAGGAGCGTTTTGCTGTAAAAATGCAATGCTTTACTTGGATGGTTGAAAACTGCACATAACTCCAATTATTTTAATCCTGCAAATTAAAATTTACAGAATGTTATTAATTCTTGCACCACCAGTAAGTGAAATAATGTCTGTGTAGCTCTGCTCGCTCGGTTTTCTCTGCTGTTGGCTGCATGAATTTCCAGGACCAGAACAAATAATAATCCAGTAAGTTAGCATTGGATCTACAGCTACACATCCACACCTACTAAAAATATTCCATAATAATATGATACTCTCTGAATTTGCCTTGCATTTCATTGGGGATTGAAGTATTTATTTATTTGCCAAAAAACTGTTCATAGTACGCCGTGGTTCTGTTTCAGATTTAATACCGATGCTGAGAGGGAGTATATAAATTTAGAATTATTAAAAAATCATGTTGTTCTCGATACAGTGTACTCAGGCTTGTATTTATCTCTTTATAAATGTTTTAGTATGGCACGTTTTTCATTGCAAAATCTTTTCTAAGTTTAAAAATCAAAAGGTTTTCTCTTGCTTTTCCTTAATTTGTCACAATCGCAATATGAGTAAAATCCAAGCGTAAAACTGGAAGTTTGATAAACATGCAGCCTGAGATGCTTTACATATTTTCACGTTACTTTTCACTATTTCCCAGAGTGAAACTCCTTTTACTAGAAGAATTCTTATGGGAAAGCAGAGTTGAAAGGACTGACATCATCAGCCCTTCCTGAAAAACAGATTGGTTTCCTTTAAGTAACACTCACTTAAGAAACCACCTATTTAGAGAGAGGCAGACAAAAATAGTTTCAAAGAAAATTAACTGTATAATAACTTAAAGCACTGGAGGGCAGTTCCTTCACGAAACGCTGTGAACGCGAGCTGACTACGGTTCTTGAAAAACTCTCTATTAAGTTTAATTTTTCTCTTTGTAGCAGTTTGCGCAGAAACAGCAGAGCGAGCTGCAGCATCGGCCCGCGTTGTTTTATCGTGCTTTTAACATTCCTATTTGTATCATTGTCGTGCTTCTCCACAGCGTCACACTCGGCTCTTTTTTTAATTTTAGCGTCATTTCAAATCATTTCAAATAATTCCTTTTGCAGCTCCATTTCTTAGCGCGGATTTCGCGCCGGACGCGCCGGCTCCCTCAGCGCTCCCGCCTCACGCCCAGGGCCTGCAGGGGGCGCCCTCTCCCCGGCCATGGCGCCTCAGGCGGGGCCGGCCGTGAGGGGGGACCTGGCGTGGAACCGCCGTAACCCGGACAAATGGTGGCGATGAGGATAAACCCCTCTCTTTTTCACTAATACTGGTACTGAGCTGTTTGCATAGGCATCGTAAATATTTATTTACTTCCAAATAGAAACCCTCCACATTCGCTGTGCTGCTTGAAGCATCGAGCAATTCTCTTCACACCTTCACCTGAAGTTTCTCTTCACCAGTTTTAAGGCAGTTGAGAAAAAAAACCAAAATTAATTGACCTGGTGGGAATTTTCTGCTAGTGACTTTTAGACACCATTCTGTGATGATTCTTTCTTTCTTAAGCAGTCCTGGTGGTGGTGATGGAAGGTCCCACATGTAGGGCTGGGAGAAGAGGTGGGAAGAGCTGGAATCACCAGTTTGGGAATTGGCCAGCAGCTTACTGGATTTTAGGAAGCTGTGTTTGCTGTATTTTA